ACTGTTTATCGCTGGGAGGGTAGAGTCGAATGGGTGTTGTTGATAAGCGTCGTGTAGGCTGCTTGATTGACTCCCTGCGCCATTGTTGGCGGTGGTGGTGGAGGATGAGGAAAAGTGTGTTGGGAATGCTGAAGAGGCGGTGGAGGATGCACTGGACGCTGATACGTCGAATATGCTACGTGTGCGGTATGCCGACGTAGGGTTTTCATTCACCGTTGCGTTTTCACACTGCTGCTGGTGCTGGTGCTGGTGAGTGTGATGCCAGGTGGTCATTAGGCATCGATCGATCACCGGGTCCACCCAAGCGCTTAACCGTGAGCAACTCGTCGTTAAACTCCACATTCGCAGCAGCAACCACATTCACGGACGAAGGGAGCTTGCAAAGTACCAACATGCTAGAAAGTCGAGCCAGTCCACAGAATCAGGTAAGCGGCCGAAGAACGAAGGAAAGGAGAATCTTGAGCCAAGGCACGTGCTTGTGTATCCATAATACATATATACAAATAGACCAACTCGTGGCATGATTGGGGGTCTTTTGGCGTCTGGGCGCTCCTCTTCCTTCCTTTCCCTCTCTCATCCAAAACCTTTCCATCGTCGATATCTCAACATGAGTGGAGCGAACGTTCTTGCGGGCGCTCACCACTTTGTTGCTAACAACAGCACATTCAATAATGCTAACACTGTGAGTAGAATGGTTATCGTGTTAATGTACCAGTGAACGAAGCTGAGAGTACGGATCTCTGGCAGATGCACATCCACAACATCAACAACGGCAATAGGACCACGTCGGACGGGGTCATCCCCCTCACACCAAACCCAAGCAATCAGTTCACAGGACGGACAGAAGTCATTGCCAAACTCAAGAGGCATTTTTTTACCAACGCAAATGATGGAGCTAAGAAGAGAAAGTTCTTCCTGTTGCATGGAATGGGGGGTATTGGAAAGACTCAGATTTGTTTAAAGTTTGTTGAGGACATGTCTGACCAGTGAGTATCTATTGAATACCACTTCAATGTTTTTTAATTCAAATTCAATTACCTTCAGCTTTTCTCATGTTTTTTGGGTTGATGCATCCTCAGTCAGCACCATCACACAGGCACTGAAGGGTATCTGTAACCTTCCTGAGGCTCAGCTTTCTGCTCTGGATGGGTCACCTGAATCTGCTCTTCACTGGATTGGCTTGCTGAAAGAGAACTATGCAATGGTGTTTGACAATGCTGATAATCTATCACCTGCTGAGCTGGAAGCTTATCTTCCACCTGGAAGGGGTGGAAATATTCTGATAACTAGTCGTAACTCTGCCATGAGGAGGCTAACTTTGCCTGAGAACTCTCTTGAAGTAACTGAGATGGAAGAGAATGATGCTCTTGAATTACTTCTAAAAGCTAGTTGCTTGAATTCATCTTCAATTGAGTTTCAATCTGAAGCTTCTAAGATTGTGAAAGAGCTCTTCTCTGTTCCTCTTGCAATTGATCAGGCTGGTGCTTACATTGCTTCTGGAGCAACCACTATCAGAGACTATCTTGCAACATATTCAGAGCACAGAAAAACATTATTATTCAACTCAGATTTTGCTGGGGCATCTAAGTATAGTAGAACTGTCTATGAGACTTGGGAGCTATCATACAAAGAAATTCAGAGAAGGGCTAAATCTGATGATTCTCGTAAGGCCAAAGCAGCCAATAGTGCAATGCTCCTTCTGGAATTATTCCCCTTCTTCCATCATGAGGGGATTACTGAAGACATCTTTTTTTATGCTGCTCTCCAAAAAAAAAAGAAAATTCTTGCCTCAAAGTTACCTCTTGCCAGCTCTCTGCTGGATCGGAGACTACTTCCTCTCAATAAATCAGGTACTTGGGATAACTTTATCTTTAAAGAGGGACTTCGAATATTACTGTCATTCTCCTTGATCAAAAAAGGCCCATCTGATGGTGTGTATGCAATGCATCCACTGGTCCATTCCTGGGGCAGAGACAGAATGCTTCCAAATGAGAAGAAACAATGTTGCTTAATGGCATATGTGACTTTGTCTTGTTCACTAAGATGGGGTAAAGACCAGCCATATAGATTTCAGAGGGTCTTGGTAACACATATAAGAGTGAATATGGAGCATGCCACATCAGAAAGTAACAAGAATGGTGTCACTTACTTAGATGATGCTTATGCCAAGTGTGGGAGATTGTTGATGGAACAAGGATATCCAAGAGAAGCAGAAAAGTTACAGATTGAAGTTTTGGATACAAGGAACCAGAATTCTTGGAGTGAAACACCCAGATACAATCACTGCCATGTCAAATCTAGCAACAACTTATCGAAACCTGGGAAAATACATAGAGGCAGAGAAGCTGCAGATCCAAGTTCTGGATGCAGCCACCAGAATTCTTGGAGTGGAACACCCAGATACAATCAGTGCCATGGCACATCTAGCAGCAACATATCGATAGACTGGAAAAATACACAGAGGCAGAGAAGCTGCAGATCCAAGTTCTGGATGCAAGGAGCAGAATTCTTGGAGTGGAACACCCATATACAATCAGTGACATGGCAAGTCTAGCATCAACATATTATAGACTGAGAAAATACACAGCAGCAGAGAAGCTGCAGATCCAAGTTCTAGATGCAAGGAGCAGAATTCTTGGAGTGGAACACCCATATACAATCAGTGACATGGCACATCTAGCATTAACATATTATAAACTGGGAAAATACACAGAGGCAGAGAAGCTGCAGATCCAAGTTCTGGATGCAAGGAACAAAATTCTTGGAGTGGAACACCCACGTACAATCAAGGCCATGGCACATCTTGCAGCCACATATCAACATCTAGGAAAATACACAGAGGCAAAGAAACTGGATATCCAAGCTCAGAAAATAAAGAATAAAGTTCCTGGAGCAGAATCTCCCCTTATGAATTCTAGGGAAAAAGGTATGAAATGAGCTTCCTTTTTTCTTTTTCACTGACACTCATATTTATATAATTAGTACATTCTCTAACCAATCTTGCCAAGAGGATTTCAAAATTCAAGTCTGGGATAATGCATTCATTTCATAGTAAGAAACATCTCAATGATGGCTTTGCAGGAACTAGTACTTAATTCTTCTTCCCCAATGCTTCTCACCTACATTCCATTTTCACTGACCTTCTGGCTTCTACTCATATCTTGATATTCTGTTTAGTATGTTGAATAAATTTCTCTTTGTCTGACTGTTTTAATTAATGATTGACTGTGTATGAGTTTATCAA